CCTCTGTCTGGTCCTGGGTGTATATAAGTTCTCAGCCTCCCTCCTTCCTCCTGAATAGATGCTACCACTCTCGGCCCACCCTCTACACATTCCTCTAAAGCTGAATTATCCATTTCTGCCTTTTTCCCAGTAGGACTGTAGGCTCCTTGAGGAAAGTTTCGTTGAACTCCCAACACCTAGGCACAATCCTTGGAACACAGTGGAATCTTATTAATTAGTTGAATGGCGATGTTTTGATGTAGTTCAAGAGTAGTCAGCAACTTTTTTTTTACAAAGGTAGGATGCTTGAAGGGGGGAAGGAATAAGAGGAGGAGTCATCAGTCGTAGAAAAGGTATCCAGAACAGTAAATAAGAAAAGAACATAGATGCCATCGAAGGCCTAGGTAAGTCTAGGAGAGCATTTTTTTTTTCTTTTTTTGTGCAAGGTGGAGCCTCTTAAGCATGGTTGAGTTTGAATTACCTCCTGATAGGTTCACGGGGGAAGGGTGCTAAAAACCAGATTGAATTTTATTTTTAAAAGTATGTTTTTATCCTCAAATGCATTTCATGCTGTTATACCTATGATAAGAGTCTGCATTTTGAATCACATGGTTTGTCTCTTCCCTATAACACTTTAGTTAAGTCAGTACCGAGGTGCAATTTACGTAAAGTAAATCCAAACTATATGTGTCCAAGTGTGCAATAATGAGTTTTGACATATGCATAAACATCTAGATACAGTCTACCCACCACAATTAAAATATTAAACTTTGTAACCTGAACATTCTCTTATACCCTTTATAGCCAACCTCTTTCCCCACCCCAGCTTCTGAAACCACTGATCTGTTTTCTTTCTCTACAGTTTTTCCTTTTCAAAAATGCTGTATAAAGGGAATCATCTAGGCAGTAGCCTTTTGAATTTGGCCTCTTTCGCTTAACGTAATGCATTCCAGATGCGGTCACGTTGCATGTGTTGGTATTATGGCTGAGGATATTTCATCGTACTGCTTGGCCACAGAGTGTCTGCCATTCACCAGTTGGTACACATTTGGGCTGTTAGGGACAGGGCTGCAGCAAATGTGCATTCACGAGTCTGTGTGTGGATGTTTTCATTTCTCTTGGCTAGGTAACCAGAAGCAGGATTGCTCAGATGGCATTCTAAGGAATTTAGTTTTTATTTGGTATGTTTCAGGGGACCATGGGTACATTTTAAGCAGTTGGGTGACAGAGACAGATTGTGCTTCAGAAAGATCCTCAGGACAGTATGGAGCATGGGGACAGACAGACAGGAGGCAGGGAGACTGGTTAGGGAACGGTGCTTTTCTGTCTACCTTGTGGCAGACACGGCCATTTTTGTCACTCTTCAATGAAGCGAGTCTAGGACGTAAAGTCATATAAGGATTCTGTGTTTATTGGTGGTCAGCCTCTCTCCACGCACCATGAAATAAAAACATCTTTTTCTATGGAAAAAGTGGAAATGAAAGGTAGTCGCCATTAATTTTTATATAATCTAAGGATGCATCGTTAGTGCTTTTTCATGCCTTTAATTATTCTTTTATTATCTTTCTTTTCCTTTTTATGCGCTCTTAATGTTTCAACTGTGGCATGGTGATGGCAGCTCGTCACTTGTTTTCCTTCTCTGTGGTTTTGGAAAAGGATAAAATACTTGTAATGGCAGTGATTAAACAAATACAAAGTTTAATATAGTAGAGACAGCTTCCTCCGAAACCATTTTTTAAAATCCACATTCAACAAAATTAACAATCCATTTCAGTACCTTCTAGGTCTACTTTGAAAGATTATTAATGTGATTTAAATCAACTGAAAATTAGAAGCACAGGATTTCCCAGTTCAAAGAGATCTTAAGAGAAGCAGCCCGAGTCACTCGTTTGTACATGAGAAGAGAGAGTTCTGAACTGAGAGGATGTTCTGCCAACAGTTTTTTTTTTCTTATAAATAAATCTCATGTTAACTTTAACTGTGTATCCTGGGAGACATATTTGGGAAAACCGATGATGCTAGCAGTAAAACCCTCAACTCAGATGCACGCCAGGCTTCCCTGGTCCCACTGGCATTTTGCTGACAGACACTTCTACAAAACCAAAATGAGCAATGGAGAGACATAAGCCAGTACTGAGATGACAAGATACAAACTCCCACCACTGTAAATCCACCTCTCCATCAACTGTCAATTCATTTTCCATATCCTCAGCATGTATGTTAACGTGTAATGACACACAGTTGAAAATGCCTGTTATTCACTATTCTTTCAGCCTCTGCTTTAGACATTTATAATTTTCAGCAATAGAATGCTGAATGCACGAGAATGAAATAAAGGAAAAGTGATCAAAGTGTCAGTGTTATTACTGATGAGAGCTGAATTAAAGGATGGGGCTGAGATGAGCAGGAATAATAGGTTTCTTAATATCAAACCCCAGAATTAGACATACCCGCCCGCTCCAGGAACAGGCCTGCTCCTCCCACGTGGGATGCTCAGAGCAGTGTGTGAGCTCCTGGAGGAAGAGATGGAGTGGCACTCAGCCACACGAGCTTGTCCCTTCCCCCAGCTCAGTAATCAGAGAAGTCACAGCATCTCCCCCCATGGGGAGGGGCCGGAGGCCCAGAGTTTCCAAGAAACGTCTCTTTTTTTTTTAAACCAAACAAGTAGGAAATAAGTGTCCCCTTTCTCCCGGACAAGAGATGGGAGGTGGCAAGGGAATGACCTTTTTGGGACCTCAGTGGCCACATCTGTGAAGTTAAATTTCCTGTGTCAGGGAAGTTGAGAGAATAAAAGATGCAGAAGCACCGGGTATGGAGACCGGCAAACTGGCACAGAGCGAATGCTGAAAAGGAGAGTAGTGATTCCATTCAGTCTTCATTTGGATAATTCCACATGTTTCTCCTTTGCCTGTTTTCCTTGCATTCTCTAACTGGGTTTTTGATGTGGATAATCAGAGGAATATGGCACCATCCTCTGAAATGGGTAACTATAAGAAAGAATCGACTCGTGAAGAATACTGATATCCATTTCTGATCTACTGAGCTTGAGGCATCTGTGCCAGAAATCATAGGCACTTGGATTTATGTTTTTTTGCAATGAAGGAGAAAATTAACTAATTAATTTGTAACTCAGTTTGGAAATTAAACAGTTAAAGCCCTTTAGAGGGCTGAAGACTGACCCTGAAGAGTATAAGATCGCAGGCGTCAGCAGAGGGCTGGAGCCACCGAGGAGGAGTCGGGGCGGAAGTGGAGAGGCCAGAGACCAGGGAGGAAACCAGGGGAGCGGGCAGCACTAAAGGCAAGGAGGGAGATCATTTCGGGGAGGAAGGAGGAGGAGAGAGAGGCTGCAGAGGGGTCGGCAGCCTAGGAAGTGAAAGAGAACAGTCAGGCTTGCAGAGAAGGCCACAGGCATTCTTAGCTCTCAGGCATGGAGCACCTACTATATACCAGCCGCCGTGCTATTGGCTCATGTACAATATCCACTCAATCCTCCAAACCTCTACGCCGCGTTTTATACATTAAGGAAGTGAGAGTCACAGAAGCCTAGTACGAGCTTGGCTTAGGTCAGAGAGCTGGGACGTGACGGAGCTGAGACCCAGATCCCTGCCATCCAGCTCTTAACCGTGGAGCTCCCCTTCCAGAAGACTTGCTTTTGCCCGTGTGTCAGCTGAGCTCTGTGGGTTGAGAGGGAGCCGGGAGTTAGGGGAGGGGAAAGAGAGGACAGCTAGTAGAGGGTAGGCTGAGGTGGGTCTCGGTTGGTTGGTTGGCTTTAAGACAGCAGAGACTTCAGCTCTATTAAATGACAGTGGGGGCTCAGAAGACTGTCAGAGCAGGAGGAGACATCAGAGGAGATGCAGAAGGAGGCAGTGGGCAGGTGTACGTGGGGGGGTGCGCCCTCCCCCCACACGCACACACTTTGTGACAGGATAGGGCAGAAGCGAATTTGTCAGTTTAATGTCAGCACGAGGAGGTTCTCTTCCGGCCGTTCTCATTTCTCTCCATCCCTCCCACTCCTCCCCATTCCCCGCCTGGGGAACATCTGGAACATCTGGCTTCCCCTTCAAGGTTCCACCCTTGTCACTCTCCTGAGCCCTCAGACAGGATTATTTCCTCGGGCCTTCCAGGGAGCACTTGATATCCGTCCACTCCACAGGCGCTGCTGGGTGTGCCCCAGCAGACCTGCTCCCTCACCTGCTGGCTGTGACTTCACGCCCCGTAAGCATGAATAAATCCAGTGTGCATCGAAGACGTGGTGCCACTCTCCGGGAGCTTATGGTTTGGAAAGGAACTAAGATACATGCAAAATGATTATAAGAAAAGTAATATGGGAGAAGAAAGCATACTGTGGACTTCAGTTGGAGGAGCGGGGAGAGAGAGAAACTACTAGTGTGAGTGATAGGTGGAGAAATTTTATAAGGAGTGGTTTTGAGCTAGTTGTTAAAAGATTAGCCTGTTTTCAGCTAACAAGGATAAGGAATAGGCCATTTTATTTGGAGGAAGTAGCATCAGAAATGGCGCAAAGCTTATTTGGGGAACACGGGGTGGTCCACTTTGGCTGAAGTACAGACTGTAGCAGAAGTAACAAGTCCACGACGCAGTGAAGGGGCCGTGAGTGCTAGACTGAAGAGCATCCTGTTTTATCGTTATCTGATCAGAAACATTGCACATACTCTAAAAACTCTTTTAGACATTTTTGTAGCCACGAAGTTTATCATAAGAGTTTAGAAATCATACCCACCATTTTCATTCCAGAAACTAGGTCCGTGTCCTGGGAGTTTGAGGTTGCCCGTATCCACCCAGTCCCCTCAGAACCCGTGTGAGCACATGAGGAGGGGCCGTGTCACTGAGTGCGTCATCCCGGAGGCGGGTGAGGGGGCGGACGTGAGCCAGGAGTGTGCTTGTTCCTGCGGTCGTAGGTTTGGGACCGATGCCAGGTTTCTCACCACTCGTAAATCACTATTCTTACTACCTATTTCTAGACAAAACTAAAATAAAAAATTAAAACCTCTTTTTTCTTTCAGTTAAGAAAAAGAAGCCTAAACTATTAAATAAATTTGATAAGACTATTAAAGCTGAACTTGACGCTGCAGAAAAACTCCGTAAAAGGGTAGGTCGAAGTTTTTGTTTTGTGCAGAAATGTGCAGTGGTTTATTGTTAAGTGAACCCAGGCAGTGCTCTCGGTGTGTTTTTTAAAAAATGTGGAGAAGCAACCTTCGAATAGAGTGGAGTTTTCCCCAGGGACATTAGCATTCCCCATGAAGTGAATCAAATGAAAAGAAAAATTGCAGCCGTAATGGCCAACTAGGACAAGAACTTCGCTCCAGGCCGGCCGGCGGGGAGTCAGGCCACTTCCCGCCCCTATCCAGTCCTTCGGCTTCGGGCAAATCACTTGGCCATTCTGAGCCTCAGTTTTCTTATTTAAAAAAAAAAAAAAATGAGAATAATAATTCCGCTTCCTATTTGGTTTTTGTAAAGATCAAAAAAAAAAATCAACTCCATCAAAGACAGTACATGTGGAGGTTTTTAATTTATAGCACTTCGATCCAACCAAAAAAAGATAAGTCCAATCCTTTTAGGATCGTTACTGTTACCGTTAGGTGAAATGACTTGAGGTTTAACATTCTTCTCACTTGTGTTTAACCTCAGGCACCTCTGCTTTTTAGGGTGGCTTTTATGTATTGCTTTGTCGTCAACTAATTCGAAATATTATTTGCATTCGTTTCTAGAAACTACAGTTTTTGAAAACAGTGAATTGACACTAGATTGAAGTTCTTTGTTTTCTAATTTGCTCACATTTATCTAATTATAGGGCCAAATGTTTATTATTTTGTGTTTAACGCTGTCTTCGCTTAATCATCTACTTGTTCTTCAGGGAAATATCTTTTCTCCGTTCTGTGCTTGAATTTATACTCTGTGTAATGCTCATTAGTGTCCCTGTAATATGCTTTTTTTTTTTTATCAGTATACTTTGGCTGCAAAAAAAAAAAAGGCCAGGGGACTGTAAGTAAATAAGCAACAACGATAAAAAAATAGGAACTAAAGAGGAACAAGAATGGGCTTCCCACACGTTTATTGGACGTGTACCAACAGTCACGATGGCTTCTGTACTCACATTAGAGAAGGTTCCCATGCCAAGGCCCGGCTTACCCTCTTTACCAGCCAATAAAATATAATAACGCCAAAGAGTGTTGCAGCAAAGTCATTGTTTACTAATTGATCCACAAGGAATGACTGTCTTGTTCAACTTCATAAAATGAAGCCGTCTACCATTTGTAGGAAATTTGCATTTCTTAGTAGCGGTGAAGCAGGAATCTTCTTTTTCTGGCATTCTCCACTTTCTCTGTACTAAATACCAAATATGGAAATGTAGAAAGACAATTTCACAGGTGACTTTTGAGATTAAAAAAAAAAACACAAGCGAACAACTTTACAGAAGGATTTTTATGTAATTGTAATTAGTGGTAAAGAAGGGCTCAGTTATCAAGGGACAATAAGTCAGTGGGACATACAAGGGCTAGACCAATCCATGGAGTAGTCTCTGGTTCTTGCTTATTTGGAGAAATTATGATGCCTTCCTCAAGGAGCACGCTAAATGCATATCAGGGTAAATAAAGGAGGAGGAAGTGGTCACAGAGGCCATTCTTGCTTCTGAGACAACAGGGAGCCAAATTATTGACTGAATCATTAGCATAACTTAGTCTTTTTGGGTCGTTTTTATAGCTGTTATTTTCAGATGATGCAACCGACTGCGCTAGAACAGCGAGACCCATGCTGAGGCAGTGCCCTGGGGAGAGAGGTCTCCTCTCAGCTCACACCCCAGCTGCCAATACTGTGCTACATGGAAGTGTGAGGGCACTTTCTTTTTACTTCAAAAATGTAGAGCTCAGATCATATCTCAGTAATCTCTTTTTTAAAAATAATATTTATCATTTCAGGCAATTTTTCGCAAGCATCATATCTTGCATTTGAGTTTTTTAATGAGAGTCGCACAATAGTGTTAAGAGCGATATTCTCTAGTATGACCCTAGGGAAGAGAAATCTCTTCAGACTAAGAATAAATACATTTACTTTGCCAGGTGGTCCCATAAGAAGGCCACTTAGCCTCTGTCTTAAGGGGGTCCAAAGGATGCCTAGGACATCCAAAATATTCCATTATTCTTATAACTGTGACGGCCAAGTAAGGGACTATGAAATAAAACGCAATGCATATTTGTTATGAATACTGTTATTCCTGTTTTAAATCTGGTAGTGGTGCATTTAGCACGATTTTCACAAAGATAGCCTCGACATTTGCAATTTAAGTTGCATAGGCACGTGGTAGGCTGAAAACGGTTCCCCGAAAGATATCCACATCCTACTGTATATTAGGAACCTGTAAATGTTAGTGAATTTGGATAAAAGGGTCTCTGCAGATACGGTTAAGTTCAGGATCTTGAGTGGGGGAGATAAGCTGAGTTATCCACTTGGGTCTTAAATGCAACCATGCGTTTCCTTATAAGAGAGAGGCAGAGGGAAATTTAATAGAGACAAAATAGGAGAAGGCACACACAGAGAGAAGGCAATGTGAAGACTAACGTGGAGATTGGAATGATGCATTCACAAGTCAAGAAATACCGTCGAGAGGCAAGCAGCAGATTCTCCCTGAGAGCTCTGCTGACAGTTTGATTTCAGCCCAGTAAAACTGATTTGGACTTCTGTTCTCCAGAACTGTGAGACAATAAATTTCTGTTGCTTTAAACCTCCAAGTGTATAGTCATTTGATAAGGCAGCCACTGGAAACTAATATAGGGGTAGTTAGAAGAAAGTCACACCGAGAAAGATATTTAACCTTAATTCTTCATTTCTTAAAATCTTTCACAGAAGAAATAAAACAGTGGTTTTAAAAACTGTTATTCAAAACGTACAAAGGACTCTTAAAATTCCACAAAAAGAAAACAAACGACTTGATTAAAAAACGAGCCAAAGACCTTAACAAACACCTGACGAAAGAAGATATACAGATGACAAATAAGCACAGGAAAAGATGCTCCACATCATATGTCAGGGTTGACTTGGCTCATCTGGTTGCCTGGAGCACCACACTGCCTATGTCACGTGACCCCTCCCAAAGCTCACATGGGCCCTTAAGCAGATGGTCCGAGCACCTTTGATAGGTCTCTGCACAACAAAGAAGGGAGGATGTGCCACAAGCCAACTTGGTGAGGGTCTTGGCATGGGGTGAGAACCCCTCCCCCCACGTCACTCCACCAGTGCCATTCCGCAGGCTGGAACGTGTGTCTCCGGGTTTCTGATGGGTGGCAGCAGGCCCAGGACATTGAGAGCCATAGGACAGAGGCAGATTTTTTGAGTTGACTTTCCCAGACCCTCAACTCCCTGTAAATTGGTGAATCCATTCATTCCCCATGTAAACGCAAGCTCACTGCACTTTTTGTTTTGACCTTCACTCAATGACTTTTATACAACAAAGTTTAACTCACAATGCAGCTGTGCAAAGAGAACTGTCCAGCACCTACGCAATCTCAATGACACTACTTCCAAAAGGCTGGACTAAGTAGAAAGAGGCCAGGGAACATCCTTGTTAAAGTTCCTTAAAAATCATTCCTTTAGCTAGATGCCATCGAAGTAGGAGGTTTTCCTTTCTCTCTCACAGGACTGTAAGTGTCACTGATGGGGCTGGTGGAAAGTCACACATAGCGTAGTGGTTGCGAGTGCAGGCTCCAGAGCCAGGCTCCCCGGCGAGTCTGGGCTCCACCTCTTAGGAGGTGTGTGACTTATGGCAAGTGGCTTGGGACTCTGCTGTAGGTGCCTCATCTGTAAAATGGGGATAATGAGGGTCCTTGACTACCCCGTGGGGTTGCCGTAAAGGTCAAATCTGATAACATACAGAAAGTGCTTGCGACACTGCAGAGAGCATAGGAAACATTGAACCATGTTACTCATTATTATTATTATTATTATTATTATTATTATTATTAATCGGTATTAGTATTACTGTAGTGTGGGGGGCATGTGTGTGCCAGCACAAAATAATGGGGCCCATCCCAGATAAGTCTCTTCCCTGACAGGCAGGTTAATGCAAGGTGAATGAGCACTCGGATGTAGAGTTAATCAAGCTAGGATCGTTCTCTTAAGTTATAGTCATTCTCAGAAATAACTGTACCACTATTTAAAATATGCCGTCTCTCACAATATTAATTTTTTTATAGAGATTTTACAAACACCCACTACCCCAACACAAACACAGCCTCCCCCATAATCAACCCCACCACCAGAGTGGCACGTTTGTTACCGATGAACTTACACTGACACACCAGAATCACTCAATTTGCAGTTTACTTTGGGGTTCAGTCTTGGAGGTGTACATTCCACGGATTTAGACAAATGTATACTGTCTGTATCCACCAATATAGTATCATACAGAGTCATCTCACCGCCCTAAAACTTTTTCGTGCTTCGCCCAGTCATCCTCTCACGCCCCGCCCTGCCCCCCATTCCTGAAAACCACCAATCCTTCTACTGTCTTCACAGTTTCGCCTTCTCCAGAATGTCATGGAGTTGGAATCATACAGTAGGCAGCCTTTTCAGGTTAGCTTCTTTCACCTAGTAATATGCATTTTAGGTTCCTCCATGTCTTTTCATGGCTTGATAGCTCGTTTCTTTTTAGTGCTGAATAATATTCCGTTGTCTAGATGTACCAGTTTACTTATATGTTCACGTACCGAAGGACATCTTGGTTGCTTCCAAGTTGGCAATTACGAATAAAGCTGTTTTTTTGTGTAACATGTTTTCAACTCCTTTGGATAAATACCAAAGAGTAGGATTTCTAGATCGTATGGTAAGACTGTACGTTTAGTTTTGTAAATTATCACCAAACTGTCTTCCAAAGTGGCTGCACCATTTTGCATTCCCACCAGCAACACATGAGAGCTCCTACTGCTCCGTGTCCTCGCCAGCATTCAGCATCGTCGGTGCCCCAGATCCAGGCCATTCTAATAGATGTCGAATGACATCTCACTGTTGTTTTAATTTGCACATCTTAGATGAAACTGTCTTTAAACTCAGAACGGAGTCCAGGAAATTTTGACAGAATTACTTGGTAAATATTAGATGACTATATTGAATAGCATTATGTATTTGGATTTATTATACTTATATAATTATCTCTATTAGGGAAAAATTGAGGAAGCAGTGACTGCATTTGAAGAACTCATTCGCAAGTACCCTCAGAGTCCACGGGCGAGATACGGGAAGGCACAGGTATTCTAAAACTCGTCTCCTTAAATAATTGTTTTGATGTCCTTGTGTTCTGTATGATTGGATTTTTCACTGCCCACTCTGCATTCTCTTTTTCCCTGCTAACTTTTATACAGAATCAATTTCTCATGCATATGCGTACACTCAAGCAGAAAATACTGTTTTAAATGAGACAATTAGTTATTGCTATTGTGTACTGGTGAATTTAGTAATACTTGTCCCCCCTCCATATGGCTTCTCTCTGGTTCTAAAAAGAAAAGAAAGGGTAATGCTTTTGTCATTGATTTCCCACACCTTTCGTCCCATCCCATTTAGAGGCACCGTATCGTTTTCACATGAGTCTCCTCAGAGCTTTAAGAACCTTAGTTTCGTAAATGGAGATTGCAAGTACGCTTAGGAAAGTCTTTTTAAAAATATAAGTGGAATGTGCTTGTGTTCTTTATAGTTTCTTTCAGCTGACTCATTTCCCACGAGCTACCTGCTCCCACCTCCCGCTCCCATCGCCTTTTTCATCTGACTTTCTCCATCTTCCAGCCCCTTGTCTCATGAAGCTTTTCCACATTCACCTGTAGCTGCGTGAACCCACTGTGTGCCACATGCTGTTTTACGCCCTGCGATGATCATGAATACTCTAGAGATCTCTGTTCTCGTGGGCCTTATTTTCCAGTGGAAGATATCTTAAAACTTATTTACTCAAAAATTATTAACGCAAGCCCACTATGTGCGAGGCCCTTTTCTAGACCCTGCAGATTCAGCCATCCACAAACCATGTGGAGTTTTCATTGTAATGGTGAAGACAATGTATGAGACCAATAAGTGAAATATATACACTTGCTTGTGGTATGTGCTAAGGAGAACCAACATAAAGCAGAGTACCATAGGCCATGTGAGGGAGATGAATGAAATATTGGATAGGGTGTCAGGGAAAGGTCTACTGAAGAGGTGACATTCAAGCAAAGTCCTGAAAGCCTTAATATCCAAATTAATTAAGTAAGTAAGTAAGTAAGTAAGTATTTAAAGAATATTATAAAGTGTTTAAAATAAATGTATTATTAGATCATCTTATGTAATAATATGTAGCATAAAGAAAAGAAGATAATGGAATAAAGAACCTCCCTATTAAGATTTTTTTGGCTGTAGGTAATGTGATTGAGAATGAAAGCGGCGACAGCACATCAGATAAGGTGATCAGAAAAGGCCTCTCTAGGGAGGTGACAAGTGGCTGAGATGTGACAAGGTTATGGCAGATGCTGACCAGGCAGAGAGAACAGCAAGGGCAAGCTGTGATGT